CTCAGCATCTCCCGTATCAATACGGTGAGTGACCAAACTCGTCTCGCCCAAACCCCGACGTTCGGTGGAAATATCGCTAAATTGAGAAATGATGTCATCCGCCACTGATCTCTCCGAAACAGTTAAGTGGTCATACGCTTGTATGAAAGTGGTAGAATCGGTACTAAGGCTAGCATTCAATACTGCGGCATTAGAAAATGTAATGCTTGAGAAATGTCTAGGAAAAATGTTACTCGCGCCAAAAAATCGATCCCCAACACGAGATCAATATTGATGTCTGGCACAACAAATGACTTAATTATATGGTACTCATTCTCAAAGTTTATAGGGAGAAACATATAGCCAATGCTGGTCATAGATTGACCCCCAGCAGCCGTGACTGTAATTAAGTTGTCCCTATGCAGCTGTAAACCCCGTTCCTCTAGCTTCCTATAAGCTTTATCACCTAAAATGGACACAGCTGAGCCTGAATCTAAGAGGCCAAATAGCTTAAAATCATTGATTTGTACACAAGCGTAAGGTCTAGGATCATGCAATGGTTTGTCCAGCAGAATTGTATCAACTTTATAAGAATTGAAGAAAACATTAACAGTGTTAAGCCAGCTCTGCCAATTCTCTTGGTCAAACTTGGGTGGCAGGACTTCAGTACAATTCTGCTGGTCTATCAGTTTTTTTGAAGTGCTCGGTTTATCCTTGCCACACTTCGGACAGTCTGGTGACTTGACGCCTTCCTGGCCACAAACAAAACAAAATATTCTATCCCTATTTGCTTTGCATTGACGAAGGTTGTGGGTGTTATTACGACACCTAGGACAATAAGGAGACTTTTGGTACTGCTGTTGCACCGCATGCACATAATTATTATTTTTAGTATAAGTTTTATTACCTGTATTGTAATTATTGTTGCTTCTATTGTAAAAGTTATTGTAAGGTCTTTTATTGAAACTTTGGCCGCTGCCTTGATTAAACCTACTTGCAGACTGACCAGCGTAAGCAAACTCTGGCGCCAGTGTTCCTGAAGAGACCTTCGGAGGTTCGTGGAATCCCACTAGGCGAGCCTGAATGTTCTCGTAATTACGACAGAGCGAACGCAAGGTGTCGAGGTCTGAGATCTTCGGGACAGAAGCTAAGGTGCTGGCGTAGCATGGGCGGATGTTATGTAAAATGATCTCAAGTTTGTCTTCGTTAGACAGGCTCTTGGACAAACGTGAGAATAGCCCAGTCATAATAGAAATGTAAATAGTTATATTTTCAGACTCGCCCTGAGTTCTGGCCCGAATCTCCGACAAGAGTCTGTAATCATAATCGGCCTGGTCGAAATCTTCTCTAAGAAGGGAAACTAACTCGTCCCAATTAGATACCTGGTCCCGAATGGCACGATACCAATGCAAGGCATCGCCGGTAAAAATCTCAGCGCAGTAAGACAGCAGTTTTTCCCCCCGGTATATTCCTCGACTGGCTGTATTCATTGATGCGCTGGATAAATGCACGAACGCAAGATTTGCCGTCGAACTTAAACTTAGTGAACTCACTAGCCACGCCGCGCTCACAAGTTACGTTAACGTTGAGAGGTAAAGCAGCAGTAGACTGAGGGTCTCTAGATGCCAGAGAAGGGGTGGAATCAGTAGCAGTAATAGCATTATAGCGTTCCAAAAGTTGCCTGTATTCCGAAACACACGTATCCACCACCCCTTGCTGGGTCGTGCTATCACAAACTATACGGTTGAGTCGATGATGGAGGTGGTTAATGAGGTTGCGAGCACGAAGCAACGCATTCCCATCGCTAGGCGCCTCGATATATGCTCTTAGCTTAATTAAAGCATCGCTGACTCCCTTTAAATCATCGCCGACAGACAAAACGCTCTCGAGAATGTCCTCCGAAGGAAAGAGTGGACCTAATTTAGCAATCTGCTCGCGTAACTCTCTGACTGTGTCAGCCGGGGTGGCACCTCTAATGGCAACTTCGTATTCTAACTCCGACTTTTGCAACGATAGGAATTTAACCGAGTGCGCCATTATAACACGCGTATAACCGCAAAGAGGTAAGTGTTGAGTCGTTACTGACTTAATCTACTCCGTTCCGTTACAATTATAATATCAGGTACTAAGAACGTTCTGGTTGACTAAAACGATTGGCGTATAAAAGAAGCAGTAAAAAGAATAAAGCAACTGCCACCAAAATAAAAGAAGCAGCGCAACAAAAAATTAAAATACGCAACTAATGTGTACTCGAACAATTAAATAAAACAACAACAAGATAATAATAATATGCCTAAGAATTAAAATAAAAAACAATTGATTGAATAATTTAAAATACTACCAACGCATGCGTGACTCAACTGAACTAGAGTTCTGCAGCAACAATAGGGAATAGTTACAATTCATAAAATTTCAATAATAATAATATCGCAGAAAAAAAAACCACGAGAAAAAAAACCTACTGCAGAATAGAATAGTAATACCTCGGAACAATATTAAATTTACCCTATCACAGATTACACAGTGACCACTCTGCACGCTAACTACTCTGTACAATGATAGAACGTAAACAACATAGGGTAGTGCACGGCATAGAGTGATTACGAAAAGTTATTCGAAACTAAACAAATTCTTAGTTAGGGATTAAAGTTTATGATCTCTCAAATAATACAAGTAAATAAATAAATCAATTGAAATTCAATAAAATTCCTAAAACAAACACAATAATGAAATTCGTACACATTAGTTGCTGCAACCAAAAAACAAAAAAAACAAAAACGTTTCACAAACACAAAGCGACACAAACACCAACTACTCCTACGCAGTGAAACCAGACCTTTTTTTACCACGTTTATGGGCGCCAGTGTGGCGGTTGGTGTTTAAAATAAGGCAACAACCAGTCATAAAAAAAAAATTATATATTGGTAAAAGAAAAGGTCGTGGGCGTGGTTCCGATGATTTAAAAAAAATGCCCGTCTGGCTTCACTGGCAGGGTCAGGTACTCCCCTATGTGGCCGCGAGGTGGTCGAGCAGGGCCGGGGGGTTGGACTGTTCACGGGGAGCGCCGTGGGCAGCTGGCTGTGGCGGTGGCGGCGTCGAGGGGAGGCCTAGGCCCTCTTAAGAAGGACGACCGCCACGGTTGTAGTCGTAAAATTGCACCCTGGAAACAACGTCGTCCAAATTTAGGTCCAGGTAATAAAATGCCGCCGATTATGAACCCCCGGTATATCGCAGGTTAGCAGTAGATGGGAGCACAGAGAGTAGCTGGCGGGTGTTCATAATCAGAACGGAGTTACAAGGCGGAATGGAAGGCAAGCGTCATAGCGGTGAGGCGCAATTAAAATACACATGAATTAAAATTACGGCAAGTGTAAAATACTGTTTAAATGTACCAGGATAACTAATTTAGGCTGTGCATTGGTTGAAACATGATGGTGACTTGCGATATTTGATCGCGGTGCGAAATGTATGAGACGCCATTTTGTAACGGTACTTTTGCCAACGCGCACAGCGGCTACAAACATTACTTACATGCAAATAACACTAATAACGTGGCAATTAAATAGCTAAAAGCAAACAGCCTGGCATGATCAAATTACACTACCTATAAAACACTTTCACTACTTAAAACTAGGTAACGTTTCAACACTTACCCTTACGGGGTGCAAGACGATACGGAGGTCTCGGTGACGAGAATTAACGAAAAAACTATACGGCCACAGTGCCGGAATTATTATATTATTTTAAACTTTTTCCAAAATGGGATTAAAATTTGCAAGCGCGTACGAGGACACAAAGCAGAGCTTGTGAACGCGGCTGCAGTGGTAGTGTGCGCCTCCCAGGGCGCTCGGGCGGAGAATGACCGGGAGCGCGACGCCGTGGAATGATACCGGTCGGGTAAAACTCTGACGCGAGAGTTGCAAAGCGCATAGAGTAACGAAGCGTCAGAGTGTTTGTTCGAAATACAATATTTTAATATTTGATTTATTATTTAATTCGTTCTTTTAGTTTACTGATTTGTTTTATTAATAGGATACCTAAGTTAATTATAGAATTATTTTTGTTAATAACTTCACATTACTTTTACGTATCAAAATCCACTTCAAACCATTATTTAAACGATAAAACAGAAGCACAATCCTGGCGTATAGACGTAAAACCGGAGAAAAGCTCCACCGTTTGCTTCGAACATTAACGACGCCGTCCTACTGCCATTTCGCCAATCAGGGTGTGAGGAATCCCTGTCCCCTGGCAAACGACAGCCAAATACTTAGGCGTCACCCTTGACAGGAGGCTCACTTTCGAGCCCCATATCAAGATAGTAACTCGCACCGCATGATTTTACCTGAGTGGGCTCAACAGCATGTTGGTCCGACACAGTAAAATGTCCCTCAGCAACAAGCGAACCCTGTGACCCCTGACCTGTTATGACCTACGTGGCCCCCATTTTTGCTCATACTAAACCCAGAATTTTAAATAAACAGAATATATATGAAACTATTTTTTTTAATCAAAATACAATAAAATCTTTTTGTAATGAAGTAAAACCTGACTTTTGTTTAGATCACAGGATAGAGAATTTTGTATAAATTTTGTAATTTCAAACATCTTCATAGAAAAGTAGTCTCTAAATATAATTTTTAATGGTTTTAAGTGCTGTGGTGGTGTAGTTGCGGTCGCATGCGCCTGCTCGGGATTTGCCGGGCGCATGCGACTACACGGAAATTTTATGGGGATTGAAGGGTTATTAATCTTGGATCCTGAGACTAGTGTGACGATTACACACCACTGAACCCGCTGCCCCTTGACGAGATCACGGCGAGGGCAATGGATGCCCTTATGATTTTCAAACATAAACCAGCAGCATTAGCCAAGATTGTACTTGAATTGCAAAAAAAAAAAAATACGGCCAGATCCTAAGCTATCATAGCTATGATAATTTATTTGTTATTTGTGATACACAAATATTTATAAAACTTTTTCCTTATAAGATCGAAAAGAATTATGATTGTACTACAAACCTTTTTTGGTACAAAACTGGCGTGTAAATGGATGGCCAATTGTATGCTATCACCAAGTTCATGAATATATGAACGTAAAGCTTGAGCTTCTGCCGTAGAAAATGGTTTCTTCCCTGGATAATATTGGGAGCATCGCGTAGGGGTCTTATGTACGTCATCTGTAATTACAAATAATTAGCTTTTTTGTCATGAACTGACTGAGGAAAAATCGGTGATTTTATGACATTATTTGGACAGTTTATGCGTCATTATTAAAAATATGCCATAAATTACAAAATTAAAGTAAAAACGTCAAGAGAAATAGACTCAGCAGTGGCTACCCGCTAAGTGCACATAAAATGAAAGTGAAATAAATCAGATCTTTAAAACTAAAACCGTAAGATACAAATTGGTAAAATTAAGAAAATTGTGCAACCGACTTCAATATAAATAAAATAAGAACATCATCAATGTAGTCGAAGTAAATGGCGGTATAACGATCTCGTTTCGTAGCAGAGGCAGTGGTGTGACACGTTTGGCAGTGCGATCATTAATCCGTCCGCCGAACGTGACAATTTTAAGGCTAATTCTGCCTACAATATGGGTAGGGCTACGTCCAGTGGTAGACTTACGGACTGAAGAAGAATAACTATCGACTATTTAATTTAATGTAATATAATTATAAAAACTAATATTATGGATGACACACACGGTCAGTTCAACTGATCATTCCAACTGATCAGTTCAAACAAGAAATGTTGATATTTCTTAAAATATCGGATTTTCGATATATCGATAACTAAACTTATGTATAAAACTCTGTTATTTATGTATTTATAATAATATATCTTAAAAGATATCAATAGTCCTAGTTTGAACTGATCAGTTGGAATGATTAGTTGAACTGACCGTGTGTGTCGTCCATTAGTTTGTTAGTATTTTATGCGCTGCCATACCATACCGTTCATCAGATTGCGCTAAAACTTTGTCAACGTGCAAGCGATGCACCAGCCCGAAGGTATAGTGCAAAAAGATAAATTTTTTATTAATGTTTAAAAATTATATGATTTTCGAATATTTATTTGAAAGTCACATCATTCAATTTTAATGAATGTACTTATTATCATTCCTAATTAAACTAACCCTTTCGAATTGAAAACGATATTTTCACAATTATTTCTTCTGCGTTAGCAATGCGCTGGGTACCAGCTAGTAAATTAAAATAATATGCGTAATTGGTCCATTTAAATAATGCGTAAATATTTAAGTAAACTCACCCTGCCAATGGTAAGCGAAATTACGGTTAATATTTGTACCAAAGCATGTTTCATTATGGTAATCTTTGTCAACGTTTTTGTACCATAAGGAGGGTCGCGTGTCGATCTGTGCCGTAGTATTCCGGCACCATATTTCAACATCCAACGGTTTTCGGGAATGTATATTTTGCGTAAAATAATGACCGTCTGGATTTGCTAATGGTATCATATACCTGGAAAATCGTATTAATTCCATCAAAGTATTAAGATATTTTTATAGCAGACACCTAGTAGTCGCCAGAACCTCGGTAATCATTCAGTAAGTTGCGAGCAGGAGTGATCGCCAGGCATGATTTGGAGAGAAAGTAAGAAGTCATTACCTTTTTAGCTTGGAGAACGGACGGAAATATTTATGGGACGCTAAGTCTATAAAAAGTCATTTTTGTGAAGAAACTGAATCCCATCGTTTCCTTTATAATTTTTATATATAACATAATAAAGCTTCTGAAGGCTTTAATTTTAATATACATTATCTCCAAGCAACGACTTCAAAAACTATTACGAAAATATTATTTTATTCTTCTTTTTAAGTAACCTTTTAATTTTATTAAAAGTTTATTTTTTATTCTTACTTAACGTATTTTTCATAAATTACAACATTTGAAATCAAATATTTACCAATCGTAATCATTGAAAAAAGGTGTTTGATAATTTGTGTCATATAACAATTTGTCTGATAATTCCATAATCGCATTCGGCGCACCCCATGTCATTCCGTTGAGTGCTACAATAAAAAAGTATAATTTTAATATTTATGCTATAGTCAAAGGTTGATCTGCAGTTTCTTCCCGGAATAACTGGTTTTTCCTAGGTTTGACCAAAGCCTTTCGGCAAACCCCGATATAAATTTCGAATTTCAGCCTTTGACTGATGTTAATCTAACCTAGAAGTACTTAACTTTTTAGTCAAACGTCGAAAGTAAAATAATCTGTTTCGGATTTTGCCTAGTCGATCCTAAAAGTTATAAAGACAAGTTCGGTCGATTCGTATTCATTTGTGGCTAAAGATGGGACAACGAATTGAGTCACAGTGGAGAGCAAACAATTTTTTTAAGAAAACATGATTACCTATAACAATTCATATAATTTTGTTTCATTCACCACTATCATAGCAGAGTTTAGGGCAACCTAACTTTATAGATAAGATAGGTCGAATCTGTTCTAAAACCAAATCACCACGCCTCGACTCCACTCCACTTCCCCTATAGTGGTATTTGTAAAGCCGTAGATGCGGAGGGAGAGCAGTCCCCGCCCGCCGTAGCAAATCGCAGGCATCTGTGCGAGCCGTAGCGGCTAAGTCTGGACCAAAAGGCTAAAGCTGCGGAGGTAATAATAATATAATAATAATATTAATAATATTAATAATAATTATAATTATATATTTATAGAAACCAACCAGATGAGAAAACTATACAGATACCCCAAAAATATTAATAATAATAAGCCTTTGCAGAGGTAACTCAGGCTCAATATTTTTGTGTAAAAAAGTGGGGTGCGATTCTTATAATATTGAAACAATAAACGTTAAAATTAAAAAAAATGTCCTTTTATTATACCTAATCTGAATCTACCTAATTCAAGTCTGACTGGTCAAACCTCGATTTCATGAAATTAAGTTACGGCGTTTGATTATTCAAATTAGTCTTCCCTAGGATAGACAAAAATTCTTTAGTCAAAGGCAGAAAAACATCATTTATTTGGACTTTAACTAAGACAATGACAGACCTGAGGTTTGACTAGTCAAACCTAAGGGCACCGGAGCTTCGACGTTTGACTATAACATTTATAAGAGGTCTATGAATTTGCCGTTTTGTTGAACTGGCCGATTTTTAAATTAGTCATTTAGATCGTACCACTGTGACGAATGCTTGTGATTGTTGTATTAGATTCATTTTATATCGCAGGTAAAAATTCGACTCGAAATTCGAGCTTGGAAGCGAGCCTCTCGTTGTGCATTACTCAGTGTACCGATTTACTGTGGAATTGTTTTAACGAATACGAAGACGCTAGCTCAGTCGTAGTTTGAAATGGATCCTTCAGTTAACAACCTTCTTCTCTGGTTAGCCTCGAGGTTAGTTTGTGAGGTTAAATTTCTCCAATGAAACCATGGAACCAATAACGCACAGTTCATTTTTTAGTAGTGTTAGATCCGTACCTTCCTTTATGGCATTGATATTACATACCATTTGAGCTGCATTGTTTTTACGTTGGAATTCATATAGTAGGTATACAAAAATTACACGAATTTTATTAGAGTCATAAATATAAGGTCATAAAGAAAAAACGAAACAAAAATAATCAAAAGAAATTAATAACAATCTTGAAATAAGGATTAACATGCCTTAAATATAAAATTTAATTAAACTCAGAATTCGAAATCAAATCATTACTTACATAAATATATGTCCAGCTCAACAAAACGGCAATTTCAAAGGTAAAAACTCAACATTATTGCTTTCTTTTTTTTTAAAAGAAAATGTACAGCAACACAATCATGCTTTTAGCACGGTCTTTTAGATTTACTTGTTTCGCTTAAATAGCATAAAAAAACTGAGAAGCACAGCTGCGCAGCTTTTGACTGAGAACAGAAGTTTTATATTCCATCCAATGTCCATTACAGCTTACAAAAACTTACCTCCAACGATAAGAATTCCAGGTTTTCTACTTTGTTTGTCACTACGAAGTTCTAGAGCTAGGATACTTCGATTGTTGACAGTACGGGGGCTTAAATGCACAACATGTGCAATTTCCTGGTTTTCTCGGGTCAAATTTTTGGCAATTTGTAATAACATATCATAGTCAATATAATTCTTGAACTTTATATGTTTACTCGCGCTTCTGACTTTACGCATCCTTGCACCGGACCTTATAAAAAAATTACAAACATTAATGGGAGTATTATTAAGTGTGGGGCTTGATCTAATGGGGATCCCCCCACCGATGGCGACGTGATAAGACATACAAAAAGTGGATGGGTGCAGGCGGCTCAGGACTTTGCTTTGTGTCGTTCTTTGAGTGAGGTCTATGTTCAAGAGTGGACTTGTGAAGGGCTGTAATGATGATAATGATGAATGGGAGTATCGAGTATTAGTTTAAATGAACATTTATCATTTAAAGCTAAAAATTGTGTAACACTTACATCACATAATTTCGAGGTGGGAATAAAATTATATATAGTGCACCAAAAAAGTATAAAGTGGCTATCAAATAAACTTTAACTTGCAAAAGCATTATTGTAACATGATTTAATAAATTGTTTTTACAAGTTTTGTTTTCGTCTTTTTACAAGCCCACTTTTTGACAAATGCCAACGACTCCATCATAGATAAATAGGTAACTCTATTAGAAACTCTAAGAATAATTGCGTTTTTTGAATTGTTTGGGTTAATTATATATAAAACACTAATTTTGTCCTCTATGAACATAAAAATAATAAATATTTTTTGTTATTAAAGAATAGTATGTTAGTAGCTTGTTAGCATAATGTTGGATTTAAAAAACTAGGGAAATTAGAAACTCTGGCTATTAAGCCGAAGAAAATAGTATGAAACTTTCAGTACATGACGTGCTTGATTTATTGCTGTCATATGAACGTAACGTGCCTTGTTGGAATAAGATGTTTTGTTCTTTCTTAACATGACATTTATTATATTTTTGATAATAGTAGGCTTTACAAATTCAGCACATTCGTTGATATTAAACAAAACTGTTGATGAATTCGCACCAATGTGTAACATATCGTGTAAGAGATCTTTAATAAAGTTTTACTAATATATATCACAACATAATTGCATATTACAGTATATTTACAGTACTACGTGACAAAAGAGCGTATACAGAGTACACACGTTGGCGGCCAAATCTACAAACACAAGAATTCATCGTGAAAGTTCTTGATGACGAAATAACAACACCAAAAGTAAATCAAATTGTGGCAGTAAATATTCTGCCAGCTACAAAAGGAACTGAGAAGATAATTGTAGGTGGAGTAGTAGTGCCTTCACCAACTACAGCGGTGACGGTAGAACAAGAGAGTGAATATACAAGATTTGTACCTCCTACCCTAATGCCTGTAACTCGTGGTCATAAAGATTTATTCCTTGCGCAGGCTGCGGTGACGAGCGGCAGTAAAATCCCACTGTATCCACCTAAAGGTATTCAAAATATCTTCTCTTCTTAATATGTTTTAAATTTTGAATTTAATCTGTTTTTGCTTTTCTTATTAGTGATTAACCAAAATGAGCAACCATATCCTCAATTCAAGTTTGGTTTGGCCCCTCAACGCGATGAAAGCCCTCCAGCCAGTCCTCAATTCGTTGCTCGAACTCCGGTGCTGTTAAATCGAAAATACGCGCCAATTACACCGGTGGTATTTACGCAAAAATCGACTGTTACGCACCTGACTCCACCAACTAAAGAACAACTTGTAAGTAAATCCGAAGTCGTATTATTTTTTGAACCAAAAGTGATTTTGTATATTTTCTATAGTTTTCACAAAATAGATAATTAGAGCTCCACTAAAAGACCATACTTGATATTCTTAATACAATTTAAACCAAATAGTAAATAAAATATTGATAAGGTTGTGTACATGCATATTTAAATAGGTAAGAACGCGACTTGCTGACAGAAGTAGTCAGGTTATAAACGGACAGCTTGGATAATAAAAGAGATATTTGTCGACTGCTGCTGCGGCTCTCTAGTACTGCTATCATAAATGGACTATTACTGTTAAATAACAGCTTTAGACTCGTAGGGAAGATATGCCAATAGACATATTTGTGACTTCGATAGCTCGTTGGTTGTAGATATTTATTATTTTGAAGAAATTATCAGTAACAGTCCAGACTCCGGAGTCAGGAAGTTGTTCATGGTTTCCTCCCGTATTTCGAAAAGTAGGTAAAGCTATTGGTCCTGCGTCTGATCTCACTGCAGTCGTGTTGGATTACCGTTGGATAATGAGATTGCACCTGTGCTTGTCGTGCATTGTCGTGCTTTATAATCCTGTGCAGCGCAGATGGCTGACCTCCGTTGATATTGGCCCCCGATGTCGAATTTGGTGCTGGATTATATTATTATTTGTGACTAATTTAGTATCTATAAAACTGACTTCAGTAAAGTCGTAAGGCTCTCGATTTTCTATTGTATACGTTTTGGACGATTTGCACAGAAAATTGAGTGGGATATTCTTTCATCATCCGACAAGAAGACACAGGTGGATATCCATATCACTATCGCGGAAATACCATGCATTAGGACCAAGCGTCTTGTTCATCGATTTTATACGTATATCAGCAGATTTACCAGCATCAATTATCGTAACAAGTGTCGTCAAGAAAAGCGTGTATAGGCTTTTATTATGGGCATTAAGGGAAATGGGCAGAGGTATATGAATTAATTTAGTTAAATTAGTTAACGTTGTTACTAACATATTTTAGTTTATAAATTACTACTTACGAAATAAATGATGATTATTATTATACTAGTATAGTATTAGGTGGAGGACACGGTGGAATGCCTCATAACCAGTTAAAATAGTTTCCGGTTCTTGTCACTTATTATACGAAACGAAGCAACATTATATTGATATTTCACCTTCTGTGGTTCTTCCCCGATTGACGGGTTGAGCCGACATATTCGTGCCGCAAACATAATACGTTGCAGCGTAGCTTTAACACTTAATGATCAGTCTAAATATTTAATATATTTCTCAAAATAGATTTAGAATCAATTCGAACCATGAAGGAATTCAAGGCGATCTGATATTCGGGTAGTTCAGAAAATATAATTCCTTAGGATTGGCGGGAGAATTTGATCATTGGTTTGGTTTTTGCTCTGCTGCCTCCTACATTTCAGCTACGGAGGGCAGGGCAGGAGGATACCGAAGTTAGATGTTAGGAGAGGCACATCGCCGTGTCTCTTCTAATCCGCGGCTTCTATATAATATTTATTAATACGCTTTACATTTCGAATAGTACTCTAAGAATACTACGTTAATATATTTTATAGTTACAGACATTCCTAGGCACGCGAATGAAACCAACACGAACCTCACCTTTACCAGATGTTATAATGCCTTCACGAACAACATTATCGGAAAACGATCTTCATGATTTCCGTGATTTTGAAGATGAGGAACTTAAATCCAATGAAATGTTTATGAGTCGTAGTACATTTTTACCTTTAGTCGGTCCAGAAAGAACACGTGTCGAAAATATTTTTTCCGTTAGAGAAAAGATCGCAGTGGATACAACAAAATTTATAGAACTTACTACTGAGTTGCGAAAAATGTTTGAAAAAGAAAAGAAAACAAAACTGGATGATGAAAATGAATTTGACTCATCTTACGGAATTATGTTTTATAATGACGATGACAAAGAAAATATAAAAAGTGCACACCCACATTATAAAGATAAAAGTGAACAAAGTATAAAACAAGTTAATGAAGATGTGATTTCTACGATTGTGACGAATAAAGAGAATATTGATGACGTACCTGCAGAGGAATCCGAAATAAATCCGGGATCAGAGTCAGATTATGAGCAAGATACATTAGCACCTAACCAAACAGTGGTAGCAGAAGCCGCCGAAGAATCGACTAAATTATTTCATGAAACACGACATAATTGTAGTTTGTTACGGTTACGACAACTTAATTTTAATTCACCACGAACTTTGGCTGAAGTAAGTCTATTAGGTTTAAGCATATTTTATTAGCATATTTTTCACTTTATTTACATCTTTATAAGTAGTCAAGTTATGCAGGGGACGGAGGACCTTTTACAAATACTAATTTATTAATGAAAAGATGTTTAATCGTTACAAGAACTCGCTTCAGACTAACTTAAAATTATATTCTTAAAACAAAGTGTATGAGAGCCCATACAGGAGCTTGGCAGTTTCCGTTCGTCCACTCAGCATTGCCTGTTGTCTGCAATCAGAATATTCTGCTGATGTGAACATCTTGGTGGGTCTCGCAACCCGTAACAAAGTGTTAAAATGTTTATTCACATTGTTTTTAACCATCCATTTGTAGCCAAGAAAGTAATAATAATTATTTATTATTTTTATACATAGCATAAGCCGTTCCCAAGAATTTTCTTCTGTATCGTGGAGGTTCTTGCAATTCATACATTGCGAACAAACATCCTGAATCAATTATTTGTGAGCCATGCACTTGCTCCGTACGGGTTTCGAATACGCGGCTTATAGCACTAACACCAAACGTTTAGGCACTGCGCTATGGAACCGTCTTATTGTTTTGTATATACTCTAAAATTTATTATGCCTAATATGTTTTTCAGATTGTGGCGCAGTTGAAACACTGGGCTGAAAATAGTCCCATAGCCAAATGGGTTGATATAACGGCCGGAAATTATACTGTGATGGAAAATCCTATATACATGATGAAAGTTGATGACCCAAGTAGTGGTCAGATTGTTACTGCTAAACAAACCGTTATGGTTATTGCAGGTACGTTAGTTTAAAAAAATCAACAAATATCCGTATTATTTTACCTTCATGTGCCATGTAGTGGCGGTGTAAGAATATCCACTTCCCCATATTGTCCCGTGGGTGACGTAACAGGTGACAGAGGGAAATTAAACGTGATGGGCAGCAGCATCTTCCTGATAACAACTTGAAATAATAAAAACAGCGGTTGACAACCCGCTCGCCAGCTAGCTATCAAACGTGATGGGCAGCAGCATCTTCCTGATAACAACTTGAAATAATAAAAACAGCGGTTGACAACCCGCTCGCCAGCTAGCTATCAAACGTGATGGGCAGCAGCATCTTCCTGATAACAACTTGAAATAATAAAAACAGCGGTTGACAACCCGCTCGCCAGCTAGCTATCAAACGTGATGGGCAGCAGCATCTTCCTGATAACAACTTGAAATAATAAAAACAGCGGTTGACAACCCGCTCGCCAGCTAGCTATCAAACGTGATGGGCAGCAGCATCTTCCTGATAACAACTTGAAATAATAAAAACAGCGGTTGACAACCCGCTCGCCAGCTAGCTATCAAACGTGATGGGCAGCAGCATCTTCCTGATAACAACTTGAAATAATAAAAACAGCGGTTGACAACCCGCTCGCCAGCTAGCTATCAAACGTGATGGGCAGCAGCATCTTCCTGATAACAACTTGAAATAATAAAAACTGCGGTTAACAACCCGCTCGCCAGCTAGCTATCAAACGTGATGGGCAGCAGCATCTTCCTGATAACAACTTGAAATAATAAAAACAGCGGTTGACAACCCGCTCGCCAGCTAGCTATCAAACGTGATGGGCAGCAGCATCTTCCTGATAACAACTTGAAATAATAAAAACAGCGGTTGACAACCCGCTCGCCAGCTAGCTATCAAACGTGATGGGAAGCAGCATCTTCCTGATAACAACTTGAAATAATAAAAACAGCGGTTGACAACCCGCTCGCCAGCTAGCTATCAAACGTGATGGGCAGCAGCATCTTCCTGATAACAACTTGAAATAATAAAAACAGCGGTTGACAACCCGCTCGCCAGCTAGCTATCAAACGTGATGGGCAGCAGCATCTTCCTGATAACAACTTGAAATAATAAAAACAGCGGTTGACAACCCGCTCGCCAGCTAGCTATCAAACGTGATGGGCAGCAGCATCTTCCTGATAACAACTTGAAATAATAAAAACAGCGGTTGACAACCCGCTCGCCAGCTAGCTATCAAACGTGATGGGCAGCAGCATCTTCCTGATAACAACTTGAAATAATAAAAACAGCGGTTGACAACCCGCTCGCCAGCTAGCTATCAAACGTGATGGGCAGCAGCATCTTCCTGATAACAACTTGAAATAATAAAAACAGCGGTTGACAACCCGCTCGCCAGCTAGCTATCAAACGTGATGGGCAGCAGCATCTTCCTGATAACAACTTGAAATAATAAAAACAGCGGTTGACAACCCGCTCGCCAGCTAGCTATCAAACGTGATGGGCAGCAGCATCTTCCTGATAACAACTTGAAATAATAAAAACAGCGGTTGACAACCCGCTCGCCAGCTAGCTATCAAACGTGATGGGCAGCAGCATCTTCCTGATAACAACTTGAAATAATAAAAACAGCGGTTGACAACCCGCTCGCCAGCTAGCTATCAAACGTGATGGGCAGCAGCATCTTCCTGATAACAACTTGAAATAATAAAAACAGCGGTTGACAACCCGCTCGCCAGCTAGCTATCAAACGTGATGGGCAGCAGCATCTTCCTGATAACAACTTGAAATAATAAAAACAGCGGTTGACAACCCGCTCGCCAGCTAGCTATCAAACGTGGTGGGCAGCAGCATCTTCCTGATAACAACTTGAAATAATAAAAACAGCGGTTGACAACCCGCTCGCCAGCTAGCTATCAAACGTGATGGGCAGCAGCATCTTCCTGATAACAACTTGAAATAATAAAAACAGCGGTTGACAACCCGCTCGCCAGCTAGCTATCAAACGTGATGGGCAGCAGCATCTTCCTGATAACAACTTGAAATAATAAAAACAGCGGTTGACAACCCGCTCGCCAGCTAGCTATCAAACGTGATGGGCAGCAGCATCTTCCTGATAACAACTTGAAATAATAAAAACAGCGGTTGACAACCCGCTCGCCAGCTAGCTATCAAACGTGATGGGCAGCAGCATCTTCCTGATAACAACTTGAAATAATAAAAACAGCGGTTGACAACCCGCTCGCCAGCTAGCTATCAAACGTGATGGGCAGCAGCATCTTCCTGATAACAACTTGAAATAATAAAAACAGCGGTTGACAGCCCGCTCGCCAGCTAGCTATCAAACGTGATGGGCAGCAGCATCTTCCTGATAACAACTTGAAATAATAAAAACAGCGGTTGACAACCCGCTCGCCAGCTAGCTATCAAACGTGATGGGCAAAAATCAGAATTGGAATTGGAAAAAAAATCAGAATATAAGTAAAATTACAATAATTACAAAATTTTTTTGGGAGCTTTAAAGCATAAGTTTGCAAGTTCTGGCGGTTCATAATAACATTTTATGAAACATGTATAAAAATTAGCCATTAGAATTGAAGTTAACTTAACCCTATTTTTATTAACTTTTCGCATCTGGTACTTGTGAATTGGCCGTCTAACCAACTTAGCAGGTATGCTGGCATTCAATTCACATATAAACTTTGCTCAAGGTCCCAAATTTTGTCCTTTAGAAAATAAGTTATGTCCTGGGTGCACCGGGTTTTTACTCTAATAGTTTAGTTGCCCAATCATTGTTCTTTATTTTTCAGGTATACAAGGCAGAGATCATCACGCGGTATCAGCTGCATTGTACGTTCTGTACCAATTAATAGAGCGCACTGAAGGCCATTCAGATTTGCTTTCTAAATATCGTTTTTGGATCATTCCCGTTTTTAATCCAGACGGATACGACTACTCCATGACATTTCCTCAAGTATGTTAAAACCTTAATTTATGTTATTAACTATGATTTTCGTTGTATATTAGTTAATATTAAATAGCTAAAGGTCGATAGAAAACTTCCCAAGCAGCACACAAGCGTTATAAACATCAATATACCAGCCCACATAGATATTAGAGTTCTGTTAGAGGCATATAAGAGTGTTGCATCCTTATACGAGTGGTTTTTGAAATATTATACAGCTCGAGCTGTATAAAGTCTGTATTATGGGATCTAAGTAAGCTTATGGTTCTTAATCAGAAAATGATAATTCTACTATACAACTTTAAGTAACACTATAATATTATACTAACTTTTTTGTAACACCTTAACATGATTTTATCATTAAAGCTGTATAAAAGCTATTACTTGCTTATTACAGCTTTAAGTGTTATTATAGTATCATTCTAATATTATTTCTAAACAATGGTATATACAAACTCCCTTATAAAACTTGTGACGTAATTGTACGCTCCTGTAAATAAACTAGTTTTATAACTTCTGTCTATGAGAGTGATATAAGACTAAAAAATGAATAACAGCTATAGTACAGATTGAGTCTGTGTAAGTAATAGAATATTGCCTTTTTGAATGCGTAATTGCGTGTTTAATATAGTGTGCTAGTGAATAAATTAATACGTAATCAATATGTGGAAAAAAGAAAAAGATTTGATGCAGTTAGAAGAAGGATTAAATAGGAATATTTAAAAATAACAAATTATAAGCGAAATAATAATGGTACTGAAGAATATAGTAATACTTGAATGAATCAGATAACCTAGAGTCAAGCGTCAATTACATCTACGTCTAACAATAAGGTATCCGTAGCAAAACATTAAACATTGTTTTCATAGTTGGTGTTACTTGTTTTGTCTTTTTCTCTCATCATCGATGTCGTTGTCGCTTCTGTTAAACATTCTATCTAGTTATATTTCTGCTTCTTCAAATGACGATCTCGATAGCCCTTTCATACGAAACCGTGAAGTGATTCAACTGTCTAAAGGCATACAACTTTCATCCTTGACTAATTTCTTAGCATATAATCGCTTTTATGCCATCTTAAAATGCCCTTTGATCTCCATAAACTTGGTACAGTGAAAAGGCAATTTTTGCCTTTCCCTATAGTTTCCAATTCCAATTTTAAATGGCGTATTATCCTAAAAAGTAAAATAAAACAAGTATAAGATACATAATACTGTCATAATACTTCACAATAAGATAACTTAGCTAACTCTTTTGGTTTTGCAGTACCTACGTGACATGCGTACGCGCTTTTCAGGAGTTACATATCAATTATCAACTAAACACAATAACAAAATAGCAAAATAAACAGCATTCGTACTCGTACCGTACTGCTGAGCTAGATAAAACATTCTGTCATAAAATGTACCTTTTATAATATTGTTTGGCAAAGAAAGAGATAGCTTCAATTTTAATTACTCCACTTTTTTAACTTACTACTTTAGGAAGATGTATAGGTAATCTTTATTTGCTATATCATAATCATATTTTTTGCTACTAGAGACAAAAAATTAAGATTTGGTTTGAGAATTTAACTCAATAAAAGAGATAATAATTTCGATCGATAGATTTCTGATGGTACAAAAATGAAAAAATATTTCTTTATTAATTTATTAACTTTGGCTGTGTGGCTTTACATAACCTTCGTCTTAAAAGAAGTGAAAGAAGTAATTTTTTGTTCTTGATAAAGTGAAGAAGAGATAGTATCTAAGACAAAAGTTTTTCATCTTTTATACGTATTTCCAAAGACAGATATTTGATGTTTTAAAGACTACTATACAGCGTAAGTAATAAAAATATTCAATGATACAACTGATTAAAAACTAATGGCTGTATAATATAATCCATAATTGAAAGAAATCATATACAAGTTTACCGTAAATCTAATTTTGCACTTTCATCACCAGTAATCACCGTCAAAACTCGATCCCAATCCGAGTAATGTTAATATGTAATATAATCTTTCACTCACTAAATGTCACCATCATTCAATAAAGTATATAAATAAATCTAATAAGTTCTTTCTCTCATAAATTCATTCGTGATTCCGTTCAAACCCCAATATAGAACTTTTATCTTTAAAAGATACTTATAAAGTAATATCTGCAGTGTAATAGTTTCCTTGTACACCAAATAAAAACCGTAATACAGCTATTATACAGACTCTTTTATGCTTGCACAGCTACTGTACAGCGCTACTTTTTACCCATAGGAACTGATACAGCCTATGTACAGCCATAAAATGCATCTTTTAGAATAAAAAGGAACTTCAATACATCTCGTATACAGCTTGCATGCTGCTTGGGTTACTACCATATTAAATACCATAGGAATGATAATAATCGATTAAGAAATTTGCCGGGCGGTGAATACTGGTGTGAAATGTGTTATAGCAGGATAAATTAATCTTCCTAAATTTAGAGGACTAGGGATATTTTAGTGGTGGTGACAGAGGAAAATGGATAAAAATTGTTGTAATCATGACAAATACATTAACTACTATCACCACGGGGACGAAAAACCAGCTCTATGACAAATGCTGGCAATTTTACGACCTTTTGGGCTCTGTACCTTTTGGGATGCAATAACAGTATAAAAAAGATGGCTGACTATCGAACTAAAGCGTTTTGAATTAGCTTACACTCAAAGCGTCTTATATATTAAACTAAAAAAAAAACCTTCCGAATCCCAATACTTTTTACATATAGCCTACAAAAAGTCTAAATAGATTACTTTTGTGAGGAATATTTACCATAGTTGCCACGTTTCTTAAGCGGGCTTGTAACCTCAGTTTTTTTTTATTATTTTGATTTATTATTAGAAAGATGCTGCCGTCCATCTCCCGTTTTATTTACCTTTGTCGCCTATTGCGACAACCCCGGGATGATACGTGGTAGTGAAATTACTCACGCCGTCACTGCGGCCACTACACGGCCATACCCAAAAACCTAACGAAAACAAAAAAAAAGATTTTAAAGTTATCTTTAATCTAATAAATTATCGAGTAAAATGTTGCCCAAACCTGATAACCAAAGAAGTCTATATACGTACCATACATATTTTACCATAATATTTCCTTTCATGTTGTTTTTCAATATGTTCTTATAAGAACTTTCATCAAATATTCATATCGCCAGAGGCGGGAATGGACAAAGAATTTGCGTCAAGCTTGGGATTCCAGTGCAGGCCGAGACTCTTGTGCCATTTTTGGGTTGAGATGTTCAATTAAACCGTGCTATGGAGTCAATCTCGACAGGAACTTCGAATATCAGTGGATTCCCAGTTAGTGTAACTTGGTTTGCCCTTGGTATATTAAATCCTATAATTTTTTTCATGTGAAGTTCTCCGAAACATTCTTTTTAAATATTTGTGCGTCAATTATAGTTTTTAAAGTACCTAGTTTTAAATAAGATTTCACACTTTAAAAGAGTACTTTTTGATATTCTCAACATAGAGTTTTAAATGATGGTAAAAATAAAGAAAATATATAGTTTGTATAGAGGTAGAGAGCACACATTAATAAAATGTTCTTGGTAAGTACTTAAAAAATATTTAAATAACTTCCGTGATAAGTTTGTGGTTGCTTAATATGTCATATAAATTAATAAAGCATATCAATTTTTGGTTATCAACATTTTGATAAATTTAACTGGGTAGACGTTCTACTTATCAAAATGTATTAGAATTTTGTCGTTACATTTGATACAACTTTGATAAACGAAACAAGACCATTTAAATTTTGTATAATAATCTAATGAAGCACGTGAAATTTTAAGCACGTACTATCAATAAAACATTTCCATATATCTATCCCCATACCGTATTTCGGTCACGGCGGCCAGACTTAATGTTAGATTGTACGCGAGTGTATACGAAAGCACCAGTAGAGTGCACCGGAGTGCACTCTTCATCATTCTCACGGTCCGTTAACACAGCAATTCAACACGACCAGAGAGGCATTAGGTGCAGAAGGACCTTTTATAGCCTTACGTGCTTTCCAAGGCATGGAAGTGAAACTCCAACAAGTTCCTGACTCCGTTCTTGACTGGCCGGATAATTATTTTTACAGAACAGGGTGACGGACGGGCAGTCAGTCCACCTGATGATAAGAATCAAAATGCAGTTGCGTCAATCGTGAGGACTAAGATGGAGTGCCTCATTTCCAGTAAATAAGGTCTCCGAAATACAGCAGCATTGACTGCTATTTTACACTGGTTTTCTGTGAGAGCGCTGTCCTACCCCGGTCGACCCATTCGTGCGTTGAACAAATTCAACAATCAACGAGGCAGTCACAATAAACAGTAATATATAAATACATATTATACTATGTTTATTTTGCATTGTTGCATATTAAAAAATAATTGCGAATATCTATTTTTATTTTTCATAAGCAATACGTAAATGTAATACATGCAAACAATGACGATGCATTTCACACCGTCATTGTTTGCATGTGTGTCCAGAAATAGCAACCGAACAATTATAAAATGCAAAATAACTATTTAATGTAAAATAGTGGCATTTCTGCGTGATAATTTATATTCTTAAACTACTCATGTGACAATAACTTATAGTAATTGTACAAATTAATAACAATATAAGTAATTGTCACATGTAATTATAATAAATAGTATATAGTAATTGTAATTTGTACAAATAATTGTTCCGGGCCTGTTTGTTCTTGTAAAATGTATGAATGTAAACTGCGATACCACGATACAGAACAAAATCTTAATGTGAAGGTAACGTTTTTTAAAGAAAAAATTTTTGCTGTAGCTTCCGTTCCAGGTTCAAAAGTATCAATAAATCATTTTAGTCACTAGGTACTACTTGGAAATCATATTTGTTCATTTAAAAACTTTAAAAGAAATAAAAGTCTAAGAGGAAAAGGTCTGGTGAGTATGATCGGTAATAAAGAATCTTTAGATTCTTCAGATTCCCAGATACGTACCTTTTCCCCTCAGACTTTTATTTCTTTCGAAATTTTTAAATAAACAAATATGAGTATTTTCCATGCGCGTGATCGCGGAGAAGTTTTTTGCCAAAAACCAAAAAGATTTTGTGCGTTCATGGACTTGGAAAAGACTTATGACAGAGTGGATTTGTTATGGCAAATACTGAACTTATTTGGGTTGAGCGCTAGGTTAGTACAGACATTGAAGTCTCTTTATAGGGACTTCAGTACTTGTGTTAGGATCAACGGGGGCTACTCAGACTGGTTTGACATCCATAAAGGTGTCAGACAGGGCTGTGTGGCTTCCCCGTGGCTGTTCTACCTAGTTATGGACAGTTGTTTGGAAGATTTGAAAGCTGCTTTTGACTAACATAATAAATATTTATTTCGATTATTTCGTAGGTACAAACTTAGTATGCGACATTAACTATTTGTACTTTAGCTGAAGAGCTTCGTGCAGAGCATCCGTGTGGGGAACTGTATGCAGGCGCGCGGCAACTGAGTGAGGCGGAAACGTTGGCTCTTACACGATTTTTGCACTCCCAACGTGTGCCGCTTCACACGTTCATCGCTTTTAAAGAGGGCGATGTGCTAGTATGTTGAATGATTTATATCATTTAAATTATTTTTAAACACTCATAAACTGTCTAGGGATACTTCATGTTTCACTATCATCATTACAGTCCGTCATAAGCCCATTGCTGAAAATTGACCTCTCGCAAGGCTTCCTTCTCCAAGAAACGAGCTTAGTCCTTTTAAAAGGCCGGCAACGCACTTGCAATTCCCCTGGTGTAGCAGTTGTTCATGGGCTGCAGTCACCACTTACCATCAGGTCAGCCGCATGCTCGTTTGACTCCTCTTCTACACGGCTGACGACAAAACACGGCTCAGATCCATATATCATCACTGACAACATGCACTAGTTGTACAGTCTTGATTTAAAATTTTGATGTATACGTGACTACGATATCGTAATTTCCCGAATGCTGGAAGCCATGAAGCAAAGTCATTCACGTTGTTTAGTATACAGGGCTATTGTTTAAAAAGTGGCCAAACTTAAGTTCAAATGTATAAATAATGATATACCGTTATTGCAGTGTTTTCTATTTTCGAATGTGATTTCTGGGCAACGACGTTTTGCCTACCAATCGACCCTTATGAATGTGTGCGTGCGCAGTAAAATCAGCTAAAATAGTGCATTACCACGCATTTTGAATTTAAATGATAAAAAGTACAGTATGTTTGAGATTTTTTTTTAATTATGTTTCTTTACCAATTGCCTACATTCGTTATTCTGAACCTTCCCTGCAAATTTAGTAGGTTATTGCAAAATAAAACTAATAAACTATAAAACTTTTAAAGTACTGGCCAATGAAAATATCGTCCGTCCGTCCGCGGTTTTACTCTGAACATTTTTATTTTGGGTACGCCCTATACAGGTAAATAGACGATTTTTTAACCTGTCTTCGTTACGGTCTTATATATCTTAGGGTTGCCGGGAATGTCTATACATTCCCGGCAACCCTAAGATTCTATCTAGATAGATAGTCAAATTATGAATATCTTTGTACGAATTTGAATGATTTGATGTAGATTGTATTGCTTTCAAAAATCGAAAATATTTTTTTATTTTTATTGAATACCATTCCGTATAAAACTGATTATTTAGGCCCATTTTCATTCGTTAAGGCGGTCAAATCGCGAACTGTCTTAATATGCTAATTATCAAGAAAGCCCACGTATTGTGACAGGCAACTACGGAATCCGACCTCTACATTGTGCGTGGCCCGACACGCACTTGGCCGGTATTTTTTCTCTATTTTTAATTCAAATAAAACAGACTGATGAAATGGTAAAATGATAGTAAGCACATAATCTTTATTACGATAAATTTTGTTCTTGTGCGCTGTACTAAATTTTTTTTACTGCATATTATGATCTACGAAAGTTTGAAGTAATTTTTTGTGGTTTTCTTTCAATACTCTAATAACAAAATATCCTTCGAATGTTCATATTATGTACATACTCGTATATTCATTCTATTCTTCGATATTACATTTTGAAACATTAGTCAGTAGCTACACTTAAATATTTGATTGAAAATTTAAAGCCAGTAAAATGATTGCAGCGATATTTTTATCCCGATATTTTGATTCTAATTACAAAATGTAATAATCAAATATTTGATGGGTTCCTAGCTAGTTAGCAATGTGTTGCTGCCATCCCACTACTATCACCCACTACCGTGTTCCGGGTAGAAGGAGAGGATTTCTTTGTTTATAGCTTGGTTACGGTTAGGGTTACCAGGGTTTGAAATTGTAGATGCGGTTGCTGGTTGTTAAAAATCCAGACTTTTTCATAAAAGTCCGGTGTTCTGCCGGTATCTTGGCAATAAATCTCAACAGATTTTGTTTCTACTTTTATTTTTGCCCATCAATTAGTTTTTTAACCCACAGATACGTTTGGTAACAGGTTTCACAAAGTCTATTTTTCCACATTTAAGATTCTTAACAAATAATGTGTTTCTAGTTGTATTTTGTCAATAATATTGGTAGACCTACAAGTATAATTCGTCCGTATAATCGTTCTAGAAACAAACAAACGCGGCTCCCTTTTGAAAAATTTTATAATTTTAGCAAATCAGATCAGTTTAGCTTATTTTGTATATGTTGACTAAATATTTCATTATAATTAATATTTTCCTTACAGGGCATTATGTATCCTTACTCCCACACGAAAAAAGCTCGTGCATTTGATCAAGTTTACGTAAGTTAATAAAATTTACATTGTAGTATCTATTTAGGGAAATTTTAGTATATAAAATATAAATGTTACAATTAGCTCTGGATTTTGCACGATTAATTATCATCATGACCACAGCCTATAAAATCCCCATAGCTGAACATAAATTACCTAATAACGAATATATACACATATAGGTATACCCCATATTGGCCATAGTTGACAGGCTTGACCGGCGCCTTGGCAATCGCAGCTTTTTATTTTATACATAATGAGGAATCATTAAGCATTTTAGTCTTAGCATTAGTACTCAGAGATGATAATACATCTGTCGCCTTCTTTGTATGAAGATGGTTGCTGGTCTCCAGGAGCTGCAGTAGCCACTTACTCAGGTGGGCTGTAAGTTCATTTTTCACTTCATTACTCAAAAAAAAAAAACGTTAAGGATTAATCCACATTCAATAAAATAGTATTTCATAATTTCTTATCCAGTTTGAATAAACCTACTCCTTCGGATTTTATCGCGTTTAATTTACTTGATTTTAATTCCCGACATTTCGGGTGCTTACCGGCACCCACGGTCACGGGAAACTGAATTGATCGACGTCCCGATGTCAGTGTTCACCCGGAGTAACATCAGCTTTTTATTTTTTACTTATGGTCCGATTTACGCAGAATGAACTTAGTGTTTTAAAATGTTGCAGTGGCATGCTTGGGTTTAGTTTTAATTTAATTAATTACAGGATCCCAGTACCCAGCTTCCTTCTCTATTGAAATTAGAATGTTTTTAATTTCAATAGCGTCACATAGTACTTGACAGGATTCGATATTCCTTCGTGAAGATTTGTGGCCTATCGAATTTGATGTAATGGCGGGGGCCGTCTAGGTTATGATCACAAACTGCAGACTTCTAACCGACTATTAACTTCGGGAATTAAAATCAAGTAAATTAAACGCGATAAGATCCGAAAAAGTAGTTTTATTCAATGTGTAGTGTTCGCGTAAACATAAGAAATCATTCTTATCCAATGTAAATTCTTTGGCCACTTTGATACCAAAATAAATTGTATGAATTATAAAAATGAAATGAATTATATGAATAGCAGTGATTAACAGTTTTGTCGAGTGAGAGCATTACCACGATGTAAAGACGAATACCTATATTTATCTTTTGGCCTTTAATAAGAATCTATCGAATACTTTAATTTGAAATAGGATGTAGATTGAAGATACCTTCAAAAACGAACATTGCAAGCCGTCTGTCGGCACGTAATATGATCGCGATGTTACCGCGCGTAGAGGTGCGTTATACCACCTATACCAGTCATAAAGAGTTATACAGGCTGTTGTAATTTGTTTAGAATAATATAAAATTTATTGCTTGGCATTAAAGGAAAACATCTAAACATAGAAAAACCTTACTCACTTTTTCTGACCTGACTCAGTCTTTATGACCTTTCTCTTTGGTTTGAAACTGAATTATGGATTCTTTTACACTGCCACCACATGGCTTTTATTTATAAATGTCGTCAACAATTTTTAAACTTACAAGATTTATAGAAATACACTGAGGATTAATGAAGTCGCTATTTAAAATGATTGCAGAGACAGCGGGCGTCACGTGCTGCTTCGGCTGCTTACAGCATTAGCGGTCGTCCGTATGTCGCTGGACAAACATCACAATTCTTACGTAACTGTTTTATTTCAATTTTATTCATTCACACTAAAAGGCTTTCTATTGCCAGTTTTATAAATCAAGAGTTTGTTATTTTAAACGTACAAAAACTAAAGGTAAATTAAAAACGATTTTATCAATTCAATTTGTATTCCAATAAAGATTAAATTGGCGATAAGAAAAAACACATCATCACAGTAACAGCCTTTCACAGGTCCACTGCTGAACTTTATTATGGTATTGAGCAGTAGAACCTTATTTATATTTGCTTATAAATACTCTAAGAGTAGAACTAATTGAAAGTCTTTCGTTCGTTATGTACCATCGTGGTAATTGTAATGAAAAATAATAAATTATAGGTATTTATTATTAATTACGTAGATTAGTAAAATTATATGAATAGCAGTGATTAAATAGCTTTATATAGAAACCAACAAGATGATGATACTCTAATGATTTAATGTTTAATATAGTCACGACGACTAAGATAGAATTGCCTCGCCAAAAAGATATCTATATCACTCATACCAAAATGCCATTCTTGAACAACAAAACTGCAGCATTTTGTTCTTCAAGAAAGGCGATAACGCTTTCTTCAAGAAATACACACCGATTTCTCTTCTGAGCCGTGTATACGTGCTGTCTACGAGAGGCATTACGAATCGTCTCGCAAACAGACTCGACGACTTCTAGCCTCCCAAACAAGCTGGTTTCCGAAAAGGCTTTAGTACCATAGACCACATACATACTCAACAATTAATATCTATAATAATTAATTAAACTTTATTTTACAATAATCAAAAACATGTATCGTATTGGTTTTCATAATTACATATCATTATTTATTACACATAATTATACAATATAATATAATATTTTTTATTTATCTTTTTTATACGATAAAGGTGACAAACGAGCACACAGTCCACCTGATGGTAAGTGGATGCTGTGGCCCATAGACATCTACATTTAACCTCGATTAAGAATCAAAATGCAGATGCGTTGTCACCCTTGAGGACTAAGATGGAATGCCTCGATTCCAGTAAAACGGGTCTCCGGTTCTCTACACTCATCATACGAAACACAGCAGCATTAAGCTGCTATTTTACGCTGGTATTCTGTGAGAGCGTGGTCCTTCCCCGGTCGAGCCGACCCATTATAGACCTATGCTACAACCATAATATAGCTACAGCGTGCCTCTACCACGTATAAATTTTATGTTGATTTTCCACATTTTACGAACTAGAGACTCGAACTTTGAAGTTGAAAGCATGACACGCTACAGAGGTTGCGGTCTGAGCCTGGATAATTGAGCATTTTCAAGGAACGATATATGCTAAAATGGTCTAAGGTGCGTCTGGAGACCCGGGTTCTACGATTATTTTACCAATTCACAGCATTTTCGCAACAAGTCTTACGCCTATTATTGAATCTATCTCTTCTGGTTTGCCCCAAGTATCATCTGCCATGAGAATACTTGACAAAGAATGTAATAGCGATGTTGAATGTTTGCAAATTATTTGTGGTTTGATTTAGCTTTTATACGTATCGTAAAAATATGGTAAGCCAATGATAGTGTTTATTATAAAGGAGCACTACACTATCACTGTTTAATGCTCTTTAATGCACCATGAAAAATAGGCAGGAATCTTTATAGTATGTTCCTGATTAAAGACAAACGAGGCCGGCTGCGATGGAGGATTTGATTTTTCCATTCTATCCGAAATATCTTTGACAAAATAATATTAATCGTCAAACGCTGATAGCTGTTGACAGTCAATATCATAATCTTGACTGTCAACAGCTATCAGCTGTTCGTTCTACCTACATCCAAATTAATAGATTTATATCAACAAAAGATACAAGTTAATTACGTAATTGTTCAACGGCGTGAGCTCATGATAAGAAATGTCGCGACGTTTTATCGGTTTTCGACGATAGTTGAGAAATTTTATTTATTTTTTTCATACGATTTAATTCGCATAAGATTTCTTTTTTGAACCTTTTTCCGTCATTATGATTTATATTTACAGTATTTATAATTCACAACAAATTAGTAAATAAAGTAATATTTAAATACGGCCAAAGAAATATCATCATCATCGTTATAGCCCTTCACAAGTCCACAGCTGAACATAGGCTATATATATATAGGCGAAGTTCAGGGGTTGCCCACTAGATGGAGTGACGATCTAAGACCTGCAGGATGTCGCAGTGCAGTCGATGGATGCAGGTGATTCAGGACTGTGCTTTGTGTTATTCCCAGGAGAAGACCTATGTGCAAAGAAATATAAATGAGCAGATTAGTCAATAAATATTTAAACAATGTAAGCTATGTATATTAAATTATATACACAAAGTTAACGGAAACTCAAATTCATCATCGGTTTCACAAAGCGGCTAGTTCAGCCACCTTTGTAGGACAGGATCATCGTGGGCGAGTGTGTGCGCAAGCACTCTTTATTCTCTCACTGTTATAGTCCAGTAAGACGGAAATTCGCCACAACCGGAGAGAGATTAGCAATTTAGGTTTAGGAGCTTTGGCTTTACGTAATTTCCGATGCACCGAGAGGAGATGGGCCAATATTTTTGACGCGCAAAAGGCAAAGGGGTTGTAGAATAGGAGAGCTAATTTTGAACTAATAGGTACAGCAACACGATTATCTAACTCGAGATAAAATGTGCGAATAAACAAAAAAAAATAATAATTATCTTTATTGGTAACTATACAGTAAATATGTGAAGTTTCTGATTGCTGAACTAGGAATTATACCTTTATCTCAGTAATCAGTACCCTCTCCCAATTTAATGACGTACTAAATACGTACGCAATTAGTTGGTCTGTTATATTATAGTAAAACATCTATAGTTTTAAATAAAGCTGCGTCTAGCGCTTTAGATAAATACATGGAATAAGACCTCCGTTTCATGATAAAAGCCAGTTTCCTACCTTCTTTTTAAATTTTTCAGAGAAAGTATGTAAAAACTTTAGAATTTTGGAAGTGATATTGTATATGAAACTATGATGGCGTCTTGCAAAGGATTTGCGGGAAGCGGTTGGCGTTAAGATATTAATAATAATATCTTTTTTCCCTTCTAATTTGTCTTTTTGTACACGGTATTAAGATGTTGTCCGCTTATAAACAGACAAGCGCATAATATACCTACTGTGTGAAGTGTATCAAAATCATTTACGTTCATCTTCACTTTCTATGATGTATTGTTTAAATGCCCAAGTTAGCTTCTTAATACTAGAGGCCTGTAAATCTAAATAAATAAGCCAGTTTATTTTACAATTTAAAACGCCGACTATAGTCAACCAAATCCAAGAAATACATTTTGACAGTTGTCAGACTTATTGCACCAGGCATGCCAACCAAAAAATGGGAACGTACAATATTCGATTCTTAAAAAAATCGATATCGATTATTTAGAGTTGGTAGATTCATTGTTTGGTTTTAATAATAGCAGAATAAATTAAATTCGGATAATTTAAAACACAAGATTTATCAATTTCTATGTATTTGTTATTAGGTAGTACTGCTTATTTCTAGAGGCACAGTTATAAAAATTTAAGATTATACCTAAATTAAAAATAAATTTATTCAATCACTATCAGCACAATTAGTTGAGTTGTCATTGTTTGATTTTCAATAATGCAGTCAAAATTAATGTCTCTTTCAAAGTCATCCATAATATATTTTTTGTTTTTTCTACCACTTTTGCCCAATTATCCTTTGTGAAATGGGCACATGCTTCAACGAATATTGAAAAAACATTCCAAAAAGTTAAAACCGAGTCACAAAGTAAGAAGACAAACACAAAATTACAAAATTACGCACAGTAAGCTTCCGAAATGGCGGGAGATTGAAATTACGAATTATTGAAAGAGTTATGAAAGAAACTGATGGAAAAATTTGGGATGTGCAAGCGGGTTTTAGAAAGGGAATGGGGTGTACAGACCAAGTCTTTTCCATGCGCATGATTGCGGAGAAGTTTTTGGCCAAAAACCAGAAAGTTTTTTGTGCGTTCATGGACTTGGAAAAGGCTTATGACAGAGTGGACAGGAATGTGTTATGGCAAACACTGAACTCATATGGGTTGAGCGCTGGTTTAGGCATTAAGGTCTCTTTATAGGGACTCTAGTGCTTGTGTCAGGATCAATGGGGTCTACTCGGACTGGTTTGGCATCCAAAAAGGTGTCAGACAGGGCTGTGTAGCTTCCCCTTGGCTGTTCAACCTATTTATGGACAGGTGTTTGCAAACTTTGAAAGATGAAGAATGTGGGTTAAGAATGGGCGAGTTAACCGTCAAATGCCTTTTGTATGCCGATGATCAAGTCATATTTGCGTCATCGGCGGCTGAGTTGCAAATGATGGTTACATTAATGAACTGGGAATTAAAAGAAAGGGGAATGAAAGTGAACGCAAGTAAGACGAAAGTGATGGTTTTTGAAAGAGAAGAAAGCAAAACGGTATGTGAAATAAGAATAGAAGGAGAGTTAATTGAGCAAGTGGATGAGTTTGTGTATTTGGGATGTGTATTTTAGCAGGGATGGTAGATATGCATAGGAACGACGAGTAAATGCAGGGAATAGAGTGAATGGGGCACTACACTCTATTATGAAGAACCAGAATGTGTCAAAAAAGGCACGTATGGTAATTCATAATGCTGTGTTAGTCCCTACTTTAATGTATGGTAGTGAAAGCTGGGTGTGGCAGAAGAAGCACGAAAGTAGAATAAATGCTGTAGAAATGCGGTCTTTAAGGAGTATGCTAGGGTTGAATCTGAATGACAGGGTGAGAAATTGCATAATAAGAGATAAATGTGGTATGCAAGATGATGTTGTGACCAGGATTAAGAAAGGAATGCTTCGGTGGTTCGGTCATGTAGAAAGAATGAATGAGGAAAGAGTGACAAAGCAAATTTATATGGCAGATGTGAACGGCCAAGTCGGGAAGGGACGCCCTAGAAAAAAGTTTATCGACCAAATTGGCGATATTTTGAAAAGGGGCCACGTTAGAAGTACCCTTAACCGACGAGCATGTATGCGTAGATATATGGATGTAAAGGAGGCGAAAGAGGTATGTCAGGATCGTGCCAAATGGAAGTCCGTAGTATCTGCCTACCCCTCTGGGTGACAGGCGTGAGTGTTTATATTATATATACTATATATATATATATATATATATAAAAAAAAATATATATATTGAAATTACGCAGTGGTTTTTATATCGCGGCCTTGTATTTGAATTTTTTGCCTACACAAATTTTCGTTGACAAATTAAAAAAATAAACTTGTTTTATTCATGATTCATGTAATTTAAGGAATTTTAAAAATAAAAATTAAATTAAACAAATAATACATAAAAAATTAATGATATATTTTTACCAATTATTGGAATATTTTTGCCGATTATTCGCATAACAATTAATTTTAGTCATTCAAACACTACGGTAATGTACATAGCGACATATCGTTGAAACGACGTCAAGTACAAAAAGTTGATACTGTTTATTTTTTAATATTTAGCTTTGTTTAAAAGATTCAAGTTTAAATTAGTGATAAAAAAACTATACACGTTGTAATGAAACATAGATAACTTTATAATTCTTCGGATTTACCTAAATGGTTATTTTAAATCGTGTGAGTACGCTTGTGCAAAGTTATTGCTGAATGATTAATGTGAAACGTCAAGAGGTATTTCTTAGATTTGGTTGACTATAGGTGCAAAATCGTTTCTGCCTACAAAAAATTCTCAAATCTGATTCTTAATAACTAATGCAATAATTTCGGCAGTCCTTTTTTGTTTCCAAATTAAACGGCTTAGATTGCCGCCTGTAAGGCATTTTTGGCATCTTTGAAATAGCTTTTCTCCAAAGAATAAATTAATGACGAGAGTTCTTTGAGTTTTCTCTATAACAGTTTTCATTTTCATTTTGTTTGGTATCATTTCATCTATATTTTTAAGTACTACATTATTCTTTATTAAAATAATAGGAATAGTTTTAAAATATGCTATGCTATACGCATATGATAATCCTCTGATGAGAAAACAATATTTAATTATATTCTTATACATATACATACAGCCATGGAGCAGCTATACAGTTGTAGCACGACCGTGAAGGACCACGTTCTCACAAAATACCCGTTTAAAATAGGAGCTTAATACCGCTGTATTTCGTAGAGAAGCGGAGACGCTTTTTACGAAATACAGCGGTATTACGGAATTATTAGCGGAAACGAGGCATTCTGTCCGTCATTCTGTCTTTTAGTGCTCAGGAGTGGCGACACATCTGCATTTTTATCATTTATCGAGGGCAGATGTAGAGATTGTACGAGCAACAGCATTTACTTACCATCAGGTGGACTATGTGCTTGTTTGTCATAACTTTTCTATAAGGGAAATCGAATCTCGAAAAATTTCGCTTAAATAACCCGACAAAATATTTAAGTTAAAACATATGTAGCGTTTAAACGCAATTAAATTTAATTCCGCTATTGGATATTGAAGAAGTACCTACAGTGTAATTACAGTCTTTTGTTTTCAGCGTTGTACGCTGGCGGAATAGAAGACTGGATAGATGGTCATATGGGCATCGACAACACATACACTGTAATGATGTTTCGGCCCACTGACTCTTATAACTCCAAGCTTGTGACCGAGGTGAGTTAATGTTAATAATGCGTTTTCAGTCAAAATATACCGGGTGGCCCATAAGTCCCTTGAAATGTAAAAAAATAATTAAAAAAAAAACTAATGACATTATGAAAAAGGTTTTTATTTTGTCATAATCCTTATAAAATGGGAATTATTTTTTGAAAATTACATCATCTAAATGTAATCCGTTACGATCGCGGCACTCCTGTAAGCGACGTTTAAAATTATCCATCACTGCGCGGCAAGTAAGCTCTGTAATGTTTGCCATTTCTCTTTGGATGTCAGTTGATGTTGAGGACGTCAATTGTCCGCGGGTTGGTTTCGTACACTTTAGTCTTAAGATAACCCCATAAGAAAAAGTCCATTGGGGTCAGATCTGGACTACGTGGTGGCCAAGGAATATCTCCTCTTCGAGAGATCACTTTATTAGGGAAAAGTTGACGGACGACCGGCATAGCGACGTTAGAGGTATGGGCAGTTGCTCCATCTTGTTGAAACCAGGTCCGAGTATTGAAGCCTGGAAAATTCTGCAACTCTGGTGTAAAAAAGTCCTGGATCATAGCTACATACCGTTGTGAAGTAACAGTAATCGCGCGGTCTCTGCTGTCCTCAAAAAAGTAAGGGTCTATAATGCCATGCGCTGATATAGCCGCCCAAACTGTCACTTTAGGGCTATGTAAGGGCTTTTGATGTTTGCGATTTGGATTTTCGCAACTCCAGTAGCGACAATTTTGCTTATTGACATGGCCGTTGATGTGAAAGTGAGCCTCATCAGAGAATAACACGTTATTAAACGAAGTAAAGCGGTTCAACATTTCATTTGCGAAATTTAGTCTGTGGATAGTGTCAGTATCTTTTAATTCCTGTACTATCTGAATCTTGTACGGGTGAAGATGTAAATCTTTCTTTAAAATTCGCTGTAACGATGTTCTGGGTAAGTTTAATGCACTGGAACGCTTACGAGTAGACTGGGTAGGATTTTCACGAATTGAGTGTTTCACTACATCGATGTTTTCTTCCGTCCGTGATGTCCTTGGTCGACCTGACCGTTGTTTATCCAACGTCGAACCACTCTCTTCGAACTTAATAACCCAGTTCTTAATCGTTTGAACACTTGGAATGTCTTTAAAGTTGCGTAAATTCTGATATTCTCGAAATTTACGCCGCGCAATTGTAGCCGAATCATTGTTTCGATAAAACTCGCGCACACAAAATGCACGGTCCGCACCGGTGAAACGCTCCATGGCGACTGAATTCCCAGAAACCGTCGGTACTCCCCCCGCACCGCGCGCGCCACTCATGCGCGCCTTTTGTATTTTATTCGAAATTTACATTTCTAACGACTTTATGGGCCACCTTGTATAAGGAGCTGCCATAAGTTGCACGGCATTAAGAGATTAATAACAATTTTTAAATTGTATTGCCGTCTGTATGTGTTCATAATCTTCGAAACTCTAAGAAAATTAATTCTAAGAAAACGGTTATAACTACCCTGCAGCTATAATGGTCGTAGCACGAATGGGTCGGTTTGACCGGTGCAGGATCGCGCTCTAACAGAATACCAGCGTAAATTAGCAGCTTAATCCTGTTGTGTTTCATATGGTGAGTGTAGAGAACCGGAGACCCTTTTTACTGGAAACGATGCATTCCATCTTAATCTTGTCCATCCTAATCTTATCGCATCTGCACTTTGATTCTTAATCGAGGATTAATAATATGTTTATAGGCCAAAGCATTCACTTACCATAAGGGGGACTGTGTATTCGTTTGTCACCCTTATAGCATAAAAAAAAAGAAATGGTTGAACCGATGGTGATAAAAATTGTCAAACATATGACAAAAGACAATATATGCCAGCAGTGATTAAGACACAAAAAACATTCATGACTTTTGGTGGAATCAAAATGTAAATACCTGTACGGGCTACAGCATGTACATTTTTGTGGCGTCAGCAGTTTACGATATAACGCTACAATAATGCATTTTAAGTCAGTGCGCTAATTGAGCCCAGCAATACCGGTCACGCGTGCTCGCAGTATCATTTCCCATCTATAATTAAATTAAATTTAGTTGGTTCTATCAATAAACTATCAATTATCAACTTCCCAGTATTGACTATCATTTACTATCAACTACTATCAACGACCACGTGAGGGTCCCGTCGCAGCCCATACAACATTTAATAAATGCTTTTTTGTATTTGTCACAAAAACTATAAGAGGTTTTTATAAAATTTACAAAAAATATCCCAGACATTTTTGTCGGTTATAAAGTATTACTCTCCAAAAATATTTTATTAAAATTTCATAAAAATATTTTGGAAACTTAAATCAAGTATTTATTGAGTAATTTTGCCCCTTCACAAGTCCACAGTTGAGCGTGGGTCTCCCCCCAAGGAATAGCACAAAGCACGGTCCTGAGCCACCTGCACCATCGACTTCCTGCATGTCTTACCAGGTCGTCACTCCGTCTAGTGGCGGGTATCCTTACACTTCGCCTAACTGTACGAGGCTGCCACTCGAGAACCTTTTTTCCCCAACGGTTGTCAGTTCTTCGAGCTATATGGCCGGCCCATTGTCACTTCAGCTTAATAATCCAATGGGCTATGGCAGTCACTCTGGTTTTATTACGGTTATCCTCATTTCTAAGTTTATCACACAGAGAAACTCCGAGCATAGCCCGCTCCATAGCTCACTGACGCCCTCTTCTCATACGGCCAGCAGTGAAGGACCACATTTCAGATCCATAAATCATCACTGGCAACACGCACGGGTTGTACAGTGAATCGAAAGTGAGTGATGTACTCACCGTTGATGGTAATACCGTATCCTTTCCAGTCCAGTAGCTTGAAAACGTCTTCCAATGCAGCGGTGAATAGTTTCGGGGATATATCGTCACCCTGTCTTACATCTCTCTGCAGTCGGAAAGGTTTCGTACTCTGGTTCTGTACTCGAACAGCGATCTTAGCCCTACTGTCTCTGTATATGTATATAGTCAACTTAACACCACTGAAGTGACTGTAGCACCTCCCAAATTTCTACAGATTCTAAAGCTTTTTCATAGTCCATATACGCGAGGCAAAGTGGCAGATTGTACTTTTAGGTCATCTGCACAATTTGCCGAAGGGTAAGTATGTAGTTTATGGTACTACAGCCCTTTCGGAAACTAGCTTATTCGGGAGGCTGGAAGTCGTCGAGTCTGCGTGCGAGACAATTAAGAATGTCTCTCGAAAACAACACGTAGACGCAGCTCAGAAGAGAAATCGATCCGTATTTTTTCAAGAGAGCTTTGTCGCCTTTCTTGGAGAACAAGTTCACCGCACTTCTGCTTCACGCCTCCGGAATAGTTCCGCCATGGAGAACTGAATTAAAAAGCTTCTGAAGGACTTCAAGTACCGATTTTCCACCCACTTTCAGAAGCTTCGCTGTAATTCCAGCCTCGCCTGGGGCCTTGCCATTTTAGATCCATTCTAATCTCGCTCAGACTGACGTTCGGGATATCATCGAAAAAGTGTCGGATAAGACTTGCTTTCGGATCGTTTCTCACACTTACGTGTGGCTCCAACCATGATGTGTACAGCTGCCCGTAGAACCTCTCAATCTCAAAATCTCAGGTCTCCCGAAAACGATTCTGCCACACTCGGTCTTCAGCTTTGACTGTTGGCTCTTTCTAGCAAACAGATCTCTGGTAAAGACTTTGGAGCATTGGTTGAGCTCGATGACTTTTTCAATACAAGCTGTATTAAAGTTGCGTAAGTCCCGCCGCATGCATTTGGATTCTGATTTTATTATTTAATGAGATCTGTCTGTTCAGTTGTCTGTATGCTATCAAATCTGCTGAAGACTGCCGATTCATTTGCCATCTAACAGCCATGAGATTAAGAGTTTGATAGGAGAGTTTTTGTGTTCGTCTGCGACGAGTCTTACAGAACATAGCTCCGACTGCATGGACGATGGCGTTTTCACGAGCTTAACATACATATCATCTACTGCATTTCAGTCTTCTAGGCACGGAAAACTGTTTTGTAGCTCATGCTGAAGGGTATCGGGATTAAAGCACAAGGGGAACGGAACTTTGACTTCATTAAACGAAAACTCTCCAACTTAACGTTTAGGCTTTGTGTGCCTCTGACCATACGGTGATCACTGCCAGTTTTCCACTCGCGATCACTGAGACACCACTGAACAGTTTTCGTCTGGTTGTCATAATGAAGTCAATCTCATTTTTTGTCGAACCAGGTCCACTTCCTGTTGGGCCGTTTCTGGAAGAAAGAGCTCATCATAAAGAACCCTTTTTTCTCCACGATGTCGGTCAGCTGCTGAGCCCTTGGGTTTCATTACCCTATTCCGAATTTGCCTACTTTCGGCTCGCCGTTCTCTCTTGTGCCTATCTTTGCGTTGAAGTCTCCCATTAACACCGTATAGGGGTTGTGGAGGAATGCATATCTTTGGAGATATCTTCACACATTTCCTCCACCGAGTGTGCCAAAGTTGTTGCGTTTATGATTTATGACCGGCGGCTATTGACCTTCAAAGAATACCGTTTAGTGATTCTGAGAATAAGGCACGCAACCCTCGTCGACACACTCATAATCGTTACAACGTTGTTAACGGGAGAACTGTGGACGATAACTACGACACCTCCTTGGGAGAGAGGGTCGCCTTCCCGGTGATAAAAAAAGTTGCCGGATTCAAGGATTACCATATCTTCCCCCTCTCTTCTCCAGCTCTAGGATCTTTTCGTCAGTCCTCTGTGTGCGTGCGTTGTATGTTGTCAGGTCGAGTTGTCTTAGGTGGCAACCGAACCTCCAACGGAGATTATTAGCGCCCCCTGCCCCGCTGTTACCATGGTCACCACCGTAGCTAGAAATAACAAAGCTGCCGGAGACTGGGGGCCGTCTCTTCGCAACTCTCATCATCTCCTGCCTGTTTCCCCCTGTCGCCTTTTACGACACCATCGGGAAGATATGGGGTTGTAGATATTCTTAACCGCCACTACACGTGTAATTTAAAAACAAATTAAATAATATAACTCTTACAAATTTAAAGCGGTGTTTTCACAATTGTTTCTTTATATGCGGCAGAAACGCGCCGGGTACCATCTAGTTCCAGATAAAAATCAACTAAGGATAAGATTTGGAAATGGTAGTCTTGGTAGAAGTTGGTCATTACTGAATTTCTTTGTTTGCTTCTTATTATACCTGTAAAATTTATTTTGATTTATCTGGTTTTCAGCGAGTTGTACATGAAGCTTATGCGGCTATGGATACTTTACTGCTACAAAACATCGAACCAGTACTGGGGCCAGCGTTAGTCACGTTATCAAAATCTAAAGGAATCCACCACACGCTTCCGTTTCCGATTAGCAGCGTCTTATATACTTCAATGTTAATAATAATTATCGGTGTACAATTAACGATAAGAATTTAACATTTTAGTTATGATTTTATAATCACGAAAGTTGTAATAGAAAGTTTTGTCGTTTGATAAAATGCATTGCAAATAGATCTGACATTTTAGGAGGATACCAATAAGTAAGTATCGAGATAAAAATGCTGGAATTTAGAAGCTCTTTAGTAAATAGCATAATGTATTTATTCGTGTAAAATATATTTTATGACATAATAAAATCAGACCAAAACTAAGCGTTGGAAAGCGACTACTTAACGATTAATTTGTTAATTTCTTTATGGTTTAACATATAAAATAAAATTTACTAACTTATATTTAATAAATCATTTAAAATACAGATTATTACACTGAATACCTTATAGTTAACAATCAAAACACCGTATTATACGCAAATTGATCCATTTTGCTGATATCATGTTTATCAATATTATTTATTTGTTTAATAAATAAAAATGTTTTCATATTTCTTTCTGTGTTTTGCTGCTAATTTCCCTCATCCACAACAGTTTCTTCAGCGGTTACAATAACAGTCTTCAGTATGTTTATATTCTTGTATCCACCATTTAAATTTAACTATTTGTCCTAGGACTCGATTAACTGCGATCATTACTGTTTTCTCCTGATATTATAGCATGGTTCATAAGTCACCGTGTGGTAGCAACCTTAAAGGATAAATTATCTTATCTCGCCCATAGGCCCTCAAATGCTCAACGAGCTTATAAATTGCTTTCTTCTGATATATATTATATTGGTAACTAGTCAAATGTACTAGGTTATCTAGGACTGTGATATCCAGTCTAAGTTACCATATAATGAATAGTAAAAATTCTTGCCCCCCTTCTATGAGAGAAATTCATGTACTTTTTATTAATGAAAGTGTTTTATTGTTCTATTTTGTTAAAAAGGGTAATAAAAGTAGTATAAAGCCACTAACTTAAAGTCTCGCAGAAAAAAGTTTAAAGAAGTAAACATGTTTATTAGGCTTACAAACACCAAGGTGAAAATAAAAAAGTAATGAACAATCTGCTAATAATATGTTCGAACAAAAAGCACATAGTAGCCGTTTTTTGACTCAAAAGGGTTCAAAGGGAGGACTTGTCCTCTTTTGAGGAAGCTGTTCGTCATAAACATTCTTGCCACTTTACCGTAGGTGTTTCCAAAGCAAAAAAAGAAAATCATCTTATTCTTGCCCTTTTGTTCGCTCTTAGTCTTGTTCTTGGTCTTGGTCTTGCAGCAAGAGTCTCGCAAGTCTCGCAATTACCTATTAGCCCAGAGTTCCCCAAACTTTTTTGTGTCGTAGACCCCTTGCCATGTTTTTCCGTGTTGGGTAGACACCCTACTTACCTGATATTGATTTCCTGTAAATTTCTAACTGTAGTGAAGTTTAGTGTTAAAAACTTAAAGTAAAAACACATGTAAATTTATACATTTATTAATTGAATTTAAATTAAAACTACTCAAAATAAAATTTTGTATCTGTTATGTAAAATATACGTAGCATTAAATAAACATAAAATAAACTATAAATAAAATAACATAAGCAATAAGTCAATATTTTAGTGAGAAGGATGAACCTGATGCATTAATAATAAATTGGCGTCAATTTTGTAAGGGTTAATCTTAAATCTCCTCGGCTAATGATGTCCAGTCTGTTTCTTTTTTTCGTTAGAAGATTGGTAACAGCGCTGAACCACCTTTCCACTAGGTGTGACGATGGAAAGGAAATTAAAAATTTCCTCGCTATATTCCATAATACGGGATAAGTAACGGGTATGTTGTTTTGCAGCCAGAATTGCTGATATCCGTTTTTAAACTGAACCTTAATTTCTTCGTTTGTACTTAGTTCAGTCAGTTCCTCTTGTATTATGACATTCGTTTCTTCTATGTCGCCATATGGATTAATTATCCACGGTGGTATTACCATAGTCAAAATATCCTCAAACCTAGATTCAAAATCTGAATAGAGGGCATTTAAATGTTGAACGTAAGTTGAAACGTCGTCTTCCTGGCAGCTTGTCTGTGACAAATTGGGGAACTGAGAAAATTCGCCCCGACCAATATTTTGCTTCATTAGTTTAACTCTGGCAAGAAACGCTGATAAGATGGACTTTGTTTTAATCAAATTTAAACTGTCACCTTGTAATTGCAAATTAACCATATTAAATTTTGTAAACAAATCTGTTAAATAGGCGATGTCTGTTTTCCTCTTCATTAAATTTTCTTTTAAAATTTTATCTTTAGTATCCAGAAATTCTAAAATAGTCTCAAAAAGTGCAAAAAATCTTGTCAAACATAAGCCTTTCGACAGCCAGCGTACTTCAGTGTGAAGGAGTAATTGATGAAAGTGTTCGTCATTTTCTTCACACAACTGCGCAAATAACCGCGTCTTCAACGCGTTGCTTCGGATTCGGTTTACTGCATCAATGACTAAATGAAGTGATTCATGCAATCTAACACTCAAATTTTTAGCAACTAAATGTTGTCGATGGATGACGCAATGTATTGCTAACACCCCTGACACATTTTGTTTTAAATAGCTTATAAATCCACGATAACGTCCAACCATGGCAGGTGCTCCATCTGTAGCTACTGATATTATATTTGATAAAGGAATTGCTTTTTCAATGAAGTAATCCTTCAAAACATGAAATATTGATTCACCTTAAGTGTCGGTTATCAAAGTTCTTGCGAAGAGCAGTTCTTCGTAGATTTCTTGATTCATAATAAAACGAACATATGACAATAATAATGCTGCATTATCAGGTAAAGTTGACTCGTCCAGTTGTATAGAGAAATGGGTCGTTTGCAAATAATTACATAAGAAGCTTTCAATATCAGAACTCATTTCATCAATACGTCTTTCAACAGTATTGTTGCTTAAGGGAATTCTTTTAATGATATCAGATGCAGGTTTGTGTAAAACAGTTTTTAAAACCTCTTCAACGGCTGGCAAAATTAACTTCTCTCCGATAGTACGCGGTTTTCCGGATTTTGCTATAAGTAACGAGATATTGTAAAACGCCTGCAAACCATCATCATTTCTTTGTGACTTCGAAGCGAACATTCTGTCCAGTGTAGGTCTCTTCTGAAGTTTATCTTTGAGTGTTTGAAAGTATTTCAAATCTTTCTCTGTTTTATCAGGGTGGCATCTTCTCAGATGATCTTGCAGTTTAGATGGTTTCATAGCGTCATTGCCCAAAACTTTGTTGTATAAAAGGCACATAGGCAATTGTTTGTCCGGCAATGATGGAATGAAGCATAGATTACTGTATATATGGAATGAAGCCAAATTTCAAATAATCGACACTGTACTGTCTACATTTCTTTTTAAATTCGGACATGGCATCTGTCATCTGTGGGCAAAATTAAATTATTTAAATAAGACAGAAAATCCAGCAGCTGTATATTAAAAATATTTTTTGATTTTTCCGCAAAACATTCCATAATTCGAACATCTTCTTGCAACAATTAGCTCGAATTACAGAGATTGCACTGTAATTATAATATAATGTCGGGAGGTTCGAGGAATAAATAATACGTCTTGAATGTAGGTTTATTACTAACTCTCTCTTATTCTATCCTACATATATATATATATATATATAAAAAAAAAAAAAAATATATATGCACACGCTACACGCCCATCGGCAAAAAGAAAAAAAAATCATTCACAAAAATATTTTTTTTTAATGTACAACATAACTTAGTGTATAAAAAAATTGTACATTATTTTAAAATATTAAAATTCTTATACCTACTACATCATATTTATAATATAATAAAATAAAAATAAAATATCGTAAACACCGTAATTTAAAAAAAATTACTTTCTCTCTCTGTATTCAAATTTATTAAACAATCATCAAATTCCTTTCGTAATTGTATTGAATCTTTAAGTTTTTGTTGTGAATTAATTTTAGTTCGCCTATCATTACCGCATAACTTTTAAAATTGTCATATATAACTATTAATTCATTAGACTGAAAATACAGTTTTTAAAACAAAATAGTTATCAAAAATTATAAGGTGTTTACAATTTTATTATATTCTTAAACTTAAACTATATTATTCATTTTAAACCTTAACAAATGTAAAAGAAGCTAATGCCATTGAAATAGTATATTTAGCATACTTATTTAAATCACACTGCAGTGTGAGTATATAAACATTATTAAAACTATTCTTATATTAGGGGCCTACTAAATCTAAATAAACTCTATGAAAAGTGGAATATCCTATAAATCGGTTATAACCATTGGCACATATATTTTTATTAATTGTTTATGTCGCAACACTTGTCACATCTATTTGCATAATTAGTAGGATGTTACTAATTATGTATATTATATAGTCTCTAACTCTGGTTAAAAGAACCTTTTCTTTGTATTGTTTATCATTCGCTATACGCGCGTGACCGTTAGTTGGCAAAAAATGATAGTCGTTTAATATTACATGTTTTGTCACACGGCGGTCCTAGTGCAACATAATCAGAATTATTAACATAACAACAGGGATCAAATACAACTTACAATCTCGGCCGCGTTAGCGGTTTTGACACCTTTGTTTTAATTTCTAAGTATGTTCATGGGAACGTTTTATTAGATTACGTTGTATAATGGTACCTAGTTTTAACCATGCATTAAAATGATATTATAAATGAAATGAATTTAACTTTCCCAATAGTTTGTACCTCTAAATATAGATTGTTACATTCAATTTCAAATTCATTTTGTAAAAGTATTATACTTTTACATATGTACATTAACAAAAATCATTAATTAAGTTATTTATAATTTCGAAAACTCATTTTTTCATGACATGAAATTTATATAAAAAAAGAAAACACTACTAGGTACACAGCTTAAGTTTGTTTTACGAAATATTTATTAACATTGAAAAAGGCAATTTTATTTCTTCAGATAACACCATTTTTGGCTCCGTTGTCATTTTTAAAGAAAAAACGTAAAAAAAATACTATTACATTAATAAATTTATAATAATAGTGTATCGATATACTC